CAGACTTGTCAAAAAACATCTGGGCGCGGCTCAGCTCAGTGCGTGGTTTCACTTGTTTTAAACCCAGTTCACCCAACGTTTGATTGTCAATGATCGCCGTGGTTTTCCAAATCAACATTGTTCGACAACCTGTTGTGGATGCGTCTTTGTGGTTGTGTGTTTGTGATTTTGTCTTTGAAGTTGTGCTTGTGGTGTGTGTTTGTGGTTGTGCGTTTGTGTCTTTGTGGTCGTGTTTGCGGCCATGTGTTTGTGGTGTGCGTGTATGTGTTTGTGATTGGCGTTGTGGTTGTGTGTTGTGGACATGTCTCTGTGGTTGTGTGGTTGTTGTGTTTTTGTGGGTGTTTGCGGTTGTTTGTTTGTGGTTGTGTGTTGTGGTTGTGCAGTGGCTGCGTTTTGTGGCTGTGCGCTGTGGATGTTTCTTTGTGGTTGTGTGTTGTGTCGTGGTTGTGTTTGCGGTTGTGCGTTGTGGTTGTGTGTTGTGGACATGTCCCTGTGGTTGTGTGCTTGTGATTGTGTTTTTGTACTTGTGCTTGTGGTTATTTGTTTGTGGTTGTGTGTTGCGGTTGTGTGCAGCGGTTGTTGTGCGTTGTGGTTGTGCGCAGTGGTTGTGCGCTGCGGTTGTGTGTTTCGGATGTGTCTTTGTGGATGCGTGTTTGTGATTGCGACTTTGTAGTTGTGTTTGCGGTTTTGCATTGTGTTGTTTTTTTGTGGTTGTGCGTTGTGGTTGTGTGCTGTGGGTGTGTTTTTGTGGTGTCTGTGTGTTTGTGATTGTGTCTTTGCGGTGATGCGTTTGTGCTTGTGTGCTGTGGTTGTGTGTTGTGGTTGTGTGCTGCGCTTGTGTCTTTGTGGTTGTGTCTTGTGGTTGTGTGCTGTGGTTGTGTGTTGTGGATGTGTCTTTGTGGTTGTGTGTTTGTTGTGATGGTGTCAGTGTCTTTGTAGTTGTGTTTGTGTGGTTTTGTTTGTTGTGGTTGTGTCCTGCGGTTGTGTCTTTGTGGTCGTGTGTTGTGGTTGAGGTCCGGCGGGGAAAACTGCCGTCGGGACTTGGCGGTTGAGGTCCAGCGGCGAACAGTGCCATCCGACGCTTGCGGTTGAGGCGGTTGAGGAGGCGAGGCGGAGAAGGAGGAGAGGACGCGAGGCAGTTGACAAAAAATCTAACAATCCTCACCGGACAGGTGGGGAAGTACTGATCTTGGAGGAGAAGCAAGACCACAATGAGTATGACCAATCTTGATAGGACTATGGACCAGGCAAAGGAATGTGAGTGCAAGTAAGCCGAGTTGAGTGGAGCGAGTCGAGAGTCCCGCGTCGCGTCGCGTCGAGCCCATTGGAGTCGAGTGGAGCGAGTGAGTGAGTGAGCGAGCGAGCGAGTGAGTGAGTGACAGGAGTGAAAATGAATGAAGCGGGTGAGAGCGCAGGCGCGCGGAAGGCAGGCGGACGTAAGCCAGCCGACCTCGCGGACAACGGTGAGTGAGTGAGTGAGTGAGCGCAAGGAGGAGGAAGAGGAGCAGGAGGAGGAGGAGGGATGAAATGACTGTACCCCACACAAAGATGTGGATGTGGGGAACAACTAGCCTCCCACATGTTTGTTGTTGCCGAACTTGGGCCTCGGGCATTTCTTAAGCGTGAACATGCCCATAACAGCACGTCACCATTTTCCTTGTGCACTTCCTACCGGCACTTCTCTTGCGGACATGAAACAAAGTTGTCACTGGTCGACGACGTCGACGATCCTTTGAGTAAATTTCAGTTGTCCAAAGGGGAAGCAAAGACCACTGGCACCGGTGTGGGCCGTGGACAGAGTTTGGCTCAGCACAGATGCTTTAGACTCTAGACTCAGCAGTGGCCGGGTGATGAGGTCTGATGCTGAGCCGACTTCGCCGGACTCCAGGGTAGTTAGGCCAAATCTTTACCGCAGACAATGAATCATTCCACACGATTTGCAACCTACACCACCAACAAAAAAAACTTCAAGGTCAAAAAACATTTCTTTTCCAAGGTCCCATACCTTTTTACTACTTGGTTTTCTTCACAGAAGATAAAGCTTTACGTCAGGATTGTCAGGGGACACATTTTTGTTTTGATCCTGGCCGCTGTTGGTTTTGATGACGTCCATACGCTCCTCTTAAGAGGCGTTGGAGACGCCAACAATTTTCCAGGTCATGCTGCTTCGTATCCTTCTGGCTGGCCTGGCCCTGTTAGCTGCAGTCTACATTCTGAAGGCCCTTGGGTGGCGGCTCGTCGAACGCTCAGTGGATGAGGAACCAAACCCGACATTCTGTTTTTAGCTGTTGGCATTCCCTGAACCTTCCATCCCTGAGATTGGGAAAGTTGAGGGAACCATACAATACCATGTGACCAGGACGTTACCTTTTAATTTCACCTTGGCAGGCATCACTCCTGCAACTCACTGACGAGGGCATAGAAGCGGAGTCATGGGATGCAGGTCAGATCGAGTGACGAATGTTGGAGAGCACAGTCTCTAGCAACTCTTAGGTTGGAGGTCATCGCTCTTAGGTTGGAGGCTTTTTGCTGCAGGCTGAACTCGTAGCATTTCTTTGTTTTTTTCCTAAGGGCAGACTGGCTTCAAAGCTAATGAGTAGGACACGAACGAACATGTTATTTTCCGATCGTGGCGAACCATGGCACGTGTTGAAAGCCGACCTCACGCAACCTAACAGATTTCCAAAAACCTTTGCAGACCAGACCTGCGCTAGACGACTCACAGAGCCAAGCGGAAAGTATTGCCAAGACCATTCCAGCCTGTCTGGACCACACGAAGCAGAGCAGCAAAGCCGCCTTTTCAGCGCCTGGACGGTGCACATCTCCAGCCCCGCAAAAGGCCCTTTGCACCCGCGAGCGCCTGGAACATCGATTACTTGCCTACAATGTTTGCATTCTCTTTGATTCAGCTTAGCAACAGGAAGGCTGTTTGTTCGACTTGTGTGCTGTGGCACAGTGTTTCTCCCGTGCCAGGTGGAAACCTCAGTGACCTGGACCTTGCCCAGAGAGCTTTTAGGCGAACGTTTCACGGTGGATTTTTTGGCCGTTCTGTTTGTTGAATTGCATTCTTGCTACTAGTAGAAATTCCAGGAGCTACTAGTAGCGTCCTTGCTACTAGTAGCATGCCCTTTGATACTAGTAGCTTCTAGTTTGCATACATTGAATTGTATTGATTTTGAATTTAAATTTGGTAGTTTGTCTCAATGCAAAGGCTTCAAATTGGTTCAATGTCGGTGTTGTGGTGTTACCCATTTTGTTTCATGTGTCAGAACTGGCGACGATGACAAGGCGGGATCGTGTTCATTTGCTGCAATTGCACTCTTAGACATGCTACGTCATGTCTTCTCAATCCGCAGACTTTATGGTGTTGGCTCTTTGTGGAGAACATACAACTTGCTAGACACGGCATTGGCATTCTGCACCCGCACAATTCTTTGAGTCCTTGGTGCCTCCAGAACCAAAAATTATACAACTTGTGACATCTTTCTCCTTTCGTGGCTTGGGAATTTGTGTTCTAAATTGCCCACACGACTGTGTTCACTTCGTTTTGTGTTCAATTCGTTGTTAAGCACTTTCTTCCTTTCTGGAAGTTCTGAGGTCTTGGACTTGCCCTTGTAAGACTTGTAAGATTTCTATTTGTATTACTTTTTTTTCAATTTTCTTTCATCTACTGATGTCCTTTGGACCTTGATCAACTTCAGACCTTTATTTTTTATTTTTCTCTTTTTGTCTTGTAAAGGAACACTTTCTTCAAAGGCCTCAGGTCTATAGAATCCCAGTCTTTGATCGACCACTTTCAAAAAGAAGCACGTCGCAGGGCGTGCCTTCATTCATGCCTTAGACTCAAAAAGTCGACACTTTGTTCAAATTAAAGGAACACTTAGTAGTAACAAGTGCCTTACTAGTAGTAACAAGTGCCACGCTAGTAGTAACAAGTGCCTTACTAGTAGTAACACAAAGCTATTAGAATTAGAATAGAATTACTTTCTTTCTTTTTTTTTAAAGCTTCTACTAGTAAAAAATTGTGTGGGAACCACATGAATAGTGTGAGCTGAAGAGCTGCGTCAGACGTTGGTAGCTTACTTAAGCATACTAGCATTTACTAGCCACCTCGCGGTCTACCTGGCGTACCCCGTCTCCGGCCTGAAAATATGAAATAGATATGGTGAAATTTCATTTCAAGTCTTCAACTAAAACCTTTGAATTGCATACAAAGCTTCTTGTTACTAGTAGCGATGGCCTCCAACCTGATAGCGATGGCCTCCACCGAGACAACTGCCCTGTTGGTCACTTCGCTGAGGCCTTTGCCCTACTCACCGCCTGTTTGAGCGACGAGGTTCGGTTAGAGCGACGTGTGGGTGGGCACACCTTGTGGAAGACACTCCAGCCCTAAGGCCTTCTCCTCCAGCCTTAAGCAATGAGTGGTGTTGCTGTCCCAAAATGTTTAAGCAATGAGGCGGCCTCGTAGTGATTCACCCAAGTACTTTGGGGGCTGAAATCGAATGGAACTTGCACGATGCGCAGGAGAAGTCGCAGCTAGATGCGGCTGCATGCAAGACCTTGCTTGGGGAGCTGTACTTTGTCGGAGGAGGGGTGCCTCGAAATCTCACGAAGGCTGGAGATGAATCGATTTGAAAGAGAGAGTACATTGAACACAACCAACATGTGTGTAATTCAGCTCGAGAGCTATTTTCAATGCAGGTTCTTGGTTTTCTCAATCTCCAGCTGGCAGCTGCTAGGCAAAAGAACTTTGGGAGGAGGCAGCAGAGGTAGGGGAGCCAGATGCCCAGTACAACCTGGGCATCCTCTATGCGAACATGCCAGCTTCCAATGCCGGCCTGGCACCTTATGTCCACCTTTGCTGATTCAATCTTTCGTTTCAATCTTTTTAGTTTCCGTTTCGAAACAAACCAAGCCGCAGCTGCAGCCAGCCCCATCCATTTCAAAACCCATTTTGTCGGGTGTTGATAAAGATGCCACGGGCCTCCAACCTAATAGCGATGCCACAGAGAAATAGAGACAACATTAAGCCTGAACAAACAGACGTCATCCACCGTTTTGCCAAAAGGCTTGGTCACTCCTTCCGAGCTGTGCCACATTGCCAGGATCAGCTGCGCCGAAATGAGGCTGCGGGCTCCAGCAGGGGTTTCCCGGGGCCTATGTGGCCATCGTTTCAACTCCTGGCAAGAACATTTCTTGCTTTGTTCTTCTCTTGGGACCTTTTGTCCTTTCTTTTTCCTTCTTTCCGTTTCTTTTCTTCTGTTAGACCTTGCCTTGCTTATTTCCTTCTTTTATTCTATCCATTCTTGAGAGTGTTATTTTGAACTAAAACCTGAGACACTTTGCAAACGTGCGTTGGTGATTCACCTTGTCTAGTGAGCTTGGTAGGCTTTGGCGGTCTTGTACCTTTATGCCGCATCAACAGCAGGCCATGCCTTCGATTTATCCTCGACTTGTTACAACATTGTCGCCACTACAAACATGTCTGCGATGATGCCAGGACATCCGGGTGCTTTGATGGCAATGGGATATAGACACCTCCACGGCTACGGTGTTCCACAGGTCTGCAAACAGCTTTCGGGCCCGCTATGCGCAATGGAAACCAACATAAGCCTCATAGTGAGGCATTCGTGCGACTTCACGGCGACATAGTTGCTTCACCTGAGAAAGCTCATGTGTCTTCATTTGCTGGCCTTTATTGTTGTGACATGATAGGCCCCTGCCAGGCTTGCAGTACAGCAGCCTTGAACTACATCGATGTGGCCAAGGGCGTGGCTTCCATCTACAGTTCAGGGATGCCACAGGCGGTAGAGCTTGTTCGACTGAACCTGCCGCATAAGGATAGAAAGGTCTCCCGGCGGATTTGCTGGATTGCGGGGTTTAGTGTTGTGTTGTGTAAGTTGTGGGTTGTTTTGGTGGTTTCAGTTTCTTTTTTGCAGAACGTTTGGAAGATCCTTGTCAAGAACGAAAAGGCCAGCATCGGAGTCCTCAGTGTACCCTCCGCTCTCCGATTTTCAGGTTCTCAGCTCATCGGAGTTGAACCTCTTTGTGCAGATTGCCACCAGCGGCGACAGTACGGTCGCAGCAGCGATTGGTAAACGGTATCTCTTGGGCATCGAAGGTTTTAAGCAGGACTTCCAGAAGGCACCGGATGCCAAGCAGGATGCAAAGGGCAGCAAAGCATGGCAATGGCACGAAATGAAGATGAGCATAGAGATCGTAGGTCAATCATATAGAGTCAGTTCATTGTTTTGCCAGGCTTTTTCTTGCTCAAATTCACTCATGTCACTTTTCCATCAGGCCAAGCAGTATCTCAATCTTGCAGCTGAGCGACACCATCCAGGAGCTTTAGCACTTCTTGGCTATATCTACTGCCTAGGCAGCCAACCTGTCGAAGGGCTCTAAAAAGGGCTTTGGGACGGACATGTGACACGATTTCTGTTTCTAGGAGAGTCTCACTAGCATATTCAAGGTCGGAGGTCGAGCAACGTGCGGAAAACATCAAGGTCCCTCCGTTACAAAGCCCATGCAATGGGATTCTTTAAAGCCCTTACTCCTCGCAACAGGTTGGAGGCCATCGCCCCTTAACACAACAGCATGGCCGATGGCCATCGCATGCGAGACACGGCCGCCGTGAGGCCTTGGGACGCCGGTGAACTTGGATACGGCCTATGCCTACTTTGCGACGGCGGCGTCACACAATGACCCGTTAGGTCACAATGGCCTTGGCTATATCTACTTCCGAGGGACCAATGCTCAGGCAGTTGGGAAAGGGGAAGCAAAGGAAAGGAAAAGGAATAGGAAAAGGAATCAAAAGACGAACAAGGTCTGAGTAAAGGGAAAGATGAAAGAAGAAAGGAACAGACCAAACGAAAGAAATACAATAGTTTTGAATGGGAGAGCTTCCTTTGAGGCTCGCATGGCCTTGCTTTAAGATACAGTTCGCTGATTTTCGAGAATCTTAGAATCTTGCAACAACAACTAGAGGGATGCACATGTTCACACGTGCGCACAGCGAAACTAGGTGGGTGTGAGAAGGGCTGTGCAATTATGTGTCAGGAGTTGCCACGTTTGAGGCTCTCTGTGTGTGTTTGTGTGCGTGTGTGCAAGGTTCCAAAGGGCATATGAGCAGGGTAGCGTGTGCGTACAAGGTTTTTTCTGCAAAGAACTACCTTGAATGAGTGTATTGAATTATAGCCTGTGACCTTCTGAAGCCGCAAGCGAGGCAATGCTTGCGCCTTTCAGACTGAATGTAGTGTTCCAGGGGCTCCTAGTACCCCTAGTAGCTTCTTGTTACTAGTAGCGATGCCAGGAGCCCCTAGCAGCGTCCGTGCAGTAGTAAGGCTGAGCGGCTGGATGCTTGACATGCGTGGAACACTTGCTATTCTTGGGGGGGGCTCCTTGGGCCTTGATCGAGTGAATGCACGCGCGTCAGGGGAGTGCGGATGTAGTGGTACTAAATACATTGGCCACCAAGTCTTTTCTCTCTCAACCTTCGCTAGCAGGTTGGAGGCCATCGCTAGTAGGTTGGAGGCCGCTAGTAGGCACTACCAAGCTCGCTTTTCATTTCGCTTGTTTCCTCAGGGACGGAATTTGAAGCTGGCCTTCAGCCACTTCAACGAGTCGGCCTACGGCGGTTCGTCCGATGGAATGTTCAATCTGGCGAGCATGTGCGCCCAGAGCTGGCTCTGCTTGGTTCTTATGCCAAGCCACAACAACTGAGGTACCTCACTGGTACGGCTGTCCAGGAGTCATTCCAAATGGCTGTGCTTTACTATGCTCAGGCATGGAACACTTAATGCATAGCTTGGCACAAAAAGAAGAAAAGAAGGAGGGAAGGAAGGGCTACACAAAAAGTGAAAGAACAAGGACAAGAAAGGACAAGAAAAGACAAGAAAGGACGAATGGCAGTTCTTTTTTTTTGACTTGCAGTTCTTCAAGGCGCTAGATCGGGGGCACACCCCGGCTGCTTACTCTTTGGCTGTGATGCATCTCAACGGCATCGGGTCCGCGACTCAAAAAACGGATCCAAAAGACACAGAAGAAGCAGGACGCTACTAGGAACAAGTGCATCGCTACTAGTAACAAGTGCCTTACTAGTAGTAACAAGAACGCTACGTTCGGGGCTCCTGGCCTTACTACTAGGAACAAAGGACGCTACTAGGAGATCAAAGAATAGAATTCAATAGAGAAGGCCTTGAGAAAGAAAAAGCCGGGGATTGGTGCCTAGCGTGGCTGCATGATAAATCAGGACAGTACGAGACTGTGACATCGCTGTCAACCTCTTAAAGAAGGCCTGAGTGGATGCCATCGCCATTCACTTATGTTCTTCCCTTGCTTTGCGGAGTTGTTGCAATCCCAGGGTAGATAAGTTCAACGCTCAACGCTGCCTTTCTTTTCTTTCTTTTCTTTCTTTCTTTCTTTCTTTCTTTCTCTCTCTCTCTCTCTTTATTCTTTCGTATTCTCTTCTTTTTGCCTTTTTAACATCTAGATTCAAGGTTAAATACTTCGAAGGGGCATCCTCACACTTAGACTGGACAGGTGTGCGAGCGAGGAGAATGGGTCTCCAGCAAACTGGTTAGTGCCTATGACTTCGGCCCGGCGCTTGGTGGCCCATGCTTCGTTGCTTTGGCGACAAACATCCGAGCACCTCGACCGGAGTGAAGTGAGGCGACAAACATCCGAACAAAGCGGCGTTGATGTTTTTGAAGCTCGCGGAAGCTGGGCACGAGGCCAGTGCAGAAAACACACGGCCAGCAATGCGATCCGGAAGTGCGTGCGCAGCGCATCGCATGCATCGCATCGCATTGCATCCCACAGGTCTCGCAGATGAATGTGGCCTATCTATTTGACAGTGGGCATGCCAACTTGTTCTCACCTGAAGAAGGTGCCGCTATGGATGCGGCGCCATATGCCGTTTCTTGTGAGAGCTTTGATGTTTTGGATGCCTTTACCCCTTGCTACTAACCAAAACACATGTTTGGCATTCAATCAAGTTTCAAAGGCCCTGTGAGTGCAGCTAGGTGAAAAACCGCCTGCTAAAGCGGACGATTACTTTTGGGAGGACGGATGTGTTTTGCCGCCTTCACCATGACTTAGTGCAAGGGTGCTCCGCTCGTACGCTTTTTCTGCTTGTGAGGACGACTCAAGATCATTTGGGCGGAATATCGCACAGTTCCCTGGATGAAAACCGTTTCCGGCGATGGAGACCGTTCATTTGCGTCGTGAGGCGATTCTATGAGATGTCCGCGGAGCAAGGAAGCGCTTCCTCAGAGCTCCGCCTCGGCGATTATGCCTACTATGGCTGCTTAGAATGAAGATGGATTTTCTCCGCCGTTTCTTTGTTTTTCTTGTTTGTTTTTCTTCTTTCGGACTTTTAGACTTTTCCTCTTTAAAGAGCCCCTACTGATACTGTGCCTTCCTTTTCTTGTTATAAACCGTTTCTTGTTTGTTAAGAGAAAGCGATCTAGAATGGCTCGATCTAGAATGGCTTACAATGGCTTGCATTTAAGTAGCCACTAATACTGGCTTGGGTTCCTCGTCAAGAGCGCCACTACGGGTGGCGAACTTTGAACAAAAGCACTTTCTGGCTGGTGCAAAGAAAACAACGGAAGATGAAAAAGGAAGGTAAGGGTCTAAGTTGCCCCTCTAAAGTGGCCTTATCTGTCTTTCCATTTCTTTACCTTCTTTGCTAATTATGTCGCTTCGCAGAACAGGCGATGGCAGGCAGTGCAACGAGTCTGTGTGAACACCAAAAAGCTCTTTCCGCAGCAGAGATTGGCAGGTGACAACCTACTAGCAATGGCCTCCAACCTAAGAGCAATCGCCTCCACCCTACTAGCAATGGCCTCCACCCTACTAGCGATGGGTTATCCCTTCCAAGAGGGGGTTTGTAATGGTTTGTAGTTTGTACGGTATTTGCGATGTTCTTGACAGCGTTGAAAACACAGCACAAACCAATGCTTGTATTTACACACTTTTGGCACTCTCCGAGGGCCAAACCCTGCAAATATCTCTGCAAGCCACAATGCATCACAATGTGCAACGCACCGCTATTTATAGTGTTTTTGAATTCTAAGTTTCAATCTCCCCGATATTTGCGATGGCTTCGGTAGTTGTTGCAATCTGTTTCTGCCTTTTGCATGTTGGAGACCACGTGCGTCACAAGACACGAAAACACAGCAACTTACCCCATACAGAAAAAGGCTTCACGCAAAGCATGGAAACTCACTGTCAACTCTTCAGAGCGCTCTCCCCCACGGCAGGGTGAGGTGTTGGAATGCGCCCCCATATCTTGCGTTGCTGTGGGTATTGCAGTCGTTTTTGCAACAGTCCTGTTGTTTTGCCGACCGAGGCTGGGGCAAGTCAGCCAGCTTTACAGAGACGGCATCGCCTGATGGAGATAAGCACGATCAAGGTGTCGCACCTTTATAGGAGTTTTCAAACCTTAATGCTTGGACATTGAGTGTTTTGGAAAGTCCCTCAGGCTTCTTGACTTTGTTTGTGTGTTTGGCATCATTTGCATGACACCTGTTGCTGTCAGGTGAAGATTGGCTTGATTTCCCTTTACCGCCGTCTTACAACATAGAGCTTCGACCTCAACCCGTTGACTATGAGGCAGCTTTGGCGAGATATCGCAAAACTGCTGACTTAACCGTCACGGGCGAATGGATGCAATCCTTTGTGGCGAGAGCTTCCTTCAATCTGGGCTTCATGCATCAGTTCGGCATCGGCATTGCACAGGACATCATTCTTCCGACAAAATATGCCATGAAGCAGTAAAGACGGAACACAAGTACATGAATTCGCAGACTTGAAAGAAACAAAGCATTGCACCTTTTGTTTATGATTCATGTCTTCTGGACCTCACGAGTTTAATCTGAACCAAGGTTCAGATTTCAGGCTTTGTGAATCATCAAACACGGTGTAAAACATGCAGCTGAAAGTAGCCAGCACTAGCTGAGTCATGGACCGGGTCAGTTTTCGGTGTCAGCTAGGAACAAGTGCCTTACTAGTAGTAACAAAAAGCTATTAGAATTAGATTCTAATTATTGTTTCTAATTTCTAATGGGCTCCCCTTTTTTTTGACCCGCGCACCCTTTTTTTCTGATCCCCCCTTTTTTTCTGACCCACAACCCTTCTTTTCTGACCCACAACCCTTCTTTTCTGACCCACAACCCTTCTTTTCTGACCCACAACCCTTCTTTTCTGACCCACAGGCCTTCTTTTCTGACCCCCAACCCTTCTTTTTTTGACCCACAACCCTTCTTTTTTGACTCCCCAGCATTCCGTGACCAATCCTTTTTTTCTGACCCACGGTCCTTTTTTTTTTGACCCCCGCAATCCGTTCTTTCTGACCCGCGGTCTTTTTCTTTTGACCCCCGCAATCCTTCCGTTTGGACCCACGAACCTTTCTTTCTGATCACCAAGCCTTTTTTTCCAACCCACGGCGCTGTTGTCTTTGACCCCGCAAAACTGTTGGACCCGCAGCCCGTGTTGCGTGACCTCGTACACCCCGGGCACGCTCTACCGAGAGGAAGCAAATTCTTTCTCCTTCTGCATCCCTCTCTTCTTCATCTGAATGACGGTGCTGTCTGTGTGATCCAATACTTTCACAATCCCATTTTTTCTGACCCCCGCACCCTTCTTTTCTGACCCACAACCCGTCTTTTCTGACCCGCAATCCTTCTTTTCTGACCCACAAACCTTTTTTTTCTGACCCCCGCAACCCTTCTTTTCTGACCCCCACACCCTTCTTTTCTGACCCACAACACGTCTTTTCTGACCCACAATCCTTCTTTTCTGATCCCCGCTTTTTTTCTGACCCCCGCAACCCTTCTTTTCTCACCTACAACCCTTCTTTTCTGACCCACAACCCCTCTTTTCTGACCCACAAACCTTCTTTTCTAACCCACAACCCTTCTTTTCTGACCCACAACCCTTCTTTTCTGACCCACTACCCTTTTTCTGACCCGCGGTCTTTTTCTTTTGACCCCCGCAATCCTTCCGTTTGGACCCACGAACATTTCTTTCTGACCACCAAGCCATTTTTGCTTCGTCTTCAACATACTGCCTAAAGTCGTTGCTGGTAACCGCCCCTTCGTCGTCAGTGTATATGATTTGGGGTTTCTTTCCCATCTTCTGTAGTGCCTCCATGGTTCCTGCTATGACGTCAGGAATTTCTTTACTCTCAATAGGAACTACCACCGCGTATATACTTAGAACGTCAGTGGCGACCAAACCACCCCTGAATTTCTGTGGAAAACATATACCTATTTGATATGTGTGATTATTATTAGATGCCACGAATGAGTTGTACAATTTAAAGAAGGAAGTTGCCATTCCAAGTTGACTACCCTTTTAAGTGAGCAATGCAGGGGTGAAATTTGGAATATGCAGCAACATTCGGGAAAGGGCCTGTGTGCGCACTTGAGTCCCCCCGATGATGTGTGCGCGCGCTTGAGTCAACAAGTGTGTGCGCAGATGAGGCACAAGGGCTGATAACGTGTGTGTGCGCGCTTGAGTCGAATCCGTGTGTGTGCGCAGATGAGGCACAAGGGCTGATAACGTGTGTGTGCGCGCTTGAGTCGAATCCGTGTGCGCGGATGAGGCGCTGCCCCCTTATTACCCGCACCTGCACCCCGCACTGTTTGACGCACCAACAAGACGCAC